GAATAGGTGTTACTTCTGCTTGTTTCCATCCTCCAGGGAAAACGCCACTTGTAAGAGAGGCATTGATGACGTGAGTAATCGGCGACAAAATAACTGACAGTCCATCCTTGATTACACGTGCAGAAATTTTGTCAAAGCCCGGTGCTTTGTTTGATGGTAACAATGCGATGATCTATTCAACTTGCTTACAATTAACAGAATGGAAAGAAAATTGTTCAGACAATGGATAGTGCGTAGGGACAAAGTTTGTTTTCGTAAGATCGTAATTACATTCAGAGGCAAGTGCTTTGATTTTGTCAACAGTGGTTCGGCCAACTGAGGTAAAAAATTCATTAAAGGAGTTTGCAACAGATTCCTCGTCCTGATTATATACCAAACCCCGATAACACGTTACTTTTCCTTCGTGCACTGTGCTCGTCTCTAGCGTTTCGTGTTCGATTGCGTCTTTCTTCTCGCTCGCCAAAGTAATGGTTGATTTACACTATCGCGTAATTTTTCCGTGCAAACGCACGTAAAATTTACGTGCATAAATGAAATAGAGGCAATGTATGAAAGGCCACGCGTAAACTAGCCTGCGTGGCAGGGGTTAAAAGGGGAAGGGGGATGGTCTCGCGTCCTAATTCCCTTCCCTTTCCCTTTCGAACGCCTGCCACGCAGGCTCGGCGCGTAAACATTGCCTCTATTTTATTTACGCGCGGAAAAATTACGCGACAGTCAGAGAATAACGCTCGCCATACAAACTAACGAATTGACTCCTGCTTTAAGTCCATTATTTTAACTACCATGTTGGCTGGAACTGAGCTTAAAAAATGGAAAATGCGAGTAAATGTCTGCAAATGCCTCGACATTAACAACAGTCGGGCGTAAGACTACCACCTGGCGTGTGCTTCCAGAAAGACCCCAAAAGGTTTATAATTAACCGACCTGAAAGCTGTCGTTGTAAACATTCATGAGAGAAGTTTCAATAGCTTTGCAGATAGAATAATAAGACTATCAGTCAACAAAACAAAATGGACTGGAAGTTGTCAGCCAAGATCTGTGCTCTTATTCTTTAGATAAGATTTTGAGTCGAAAACTTGATTCCGGGACTTGATTTAGGGTCCGAAAAGTTTATTATTATACCAAAGGCCAGTTGTTCGAATGCCGATTAGCGCTAACCCGGGGTTAAAGTTTAATCCGGGATTCTTTGACCGACGGGTCTTCGAGAAATAGCCGGGGGCCCCTACTTGGTCGTTGTAGTCTGGGACGGGACTTACTGCTGTTTCTCTTGAGCCTGCTGTTTATGCAGCTGTCCAAATTCATTATGAAGTCTGGTTGTTTTAAGGAGAAATGACTCTCCTTCTACGCTGGAAAAATCTGCCATCATTTTGGGCATTTCGGAGCCTTCTATCTGTCAAGGAAGGTAATTTCTTTTCTAGTATAAAATCCACGTTTTCTTTTTTGGGTTAAAAGATTCAGTTGCGGATATTATGAGGTGTAGACAGTGATCTGTAGTGGCCTTGCATGCCCAGGCCTTTGCCAAAATAAAATAACTTATGTTTGCTTCTGCCTCAATCCAATATAATTAGAAAAGAAAGATTTTTTTTGTAGTTAACTGTAATCTTTCCATTTGTGTGGCTTTAGTGAGTTCATGTTATAATAACCTTAGAAAGAGGACAAATTACAACTTAAATCTTTTCACATTGTCATGTTTTCATTTTCGCCTCCTTATGTACAGTATGTGCCTATTCTCGGACACTTTTTGCATTTATCACAGTAACTTACCGCAGAAGGGTAGGGGGAAGCTGATGCTTTTCTAGTATAAAGTTCCCTTCCTTGCGATAACGTGTTGTAAAGACTGGCCAGTTGAACACCTAACGTTTTTCCCAGATTAGGCAAATGATTTTGTTCTTGTCCACCAACGTGGGTACGTGATGTCTGGTAAAAAGTGTCTCCAGTTTGCTGGTCATTGCTATTGAGCAGATAAAGAAATGATCCTATCTCTNAAGTTCCCTTCCTTGCGTTAACGTGTTGTAAAGACTGGCCAGTTGAACACCTAACGTTTTTCCCAGATTAGGCAAATGATTTTGTTCTTGTCCACCAACGTGGGTACGTGATGTCTGGTAAAAAGTGTCTCCAGTTTGCTGGTCATTGCTATTGAGCAGATAAAGAAATGATCCTATCTCTCATCCTCTGGCGCCCAGTGGGAAGAGTGCAGTCACGGGAGCTAACATATCCCGAAGTGATTGCTGAGGATTCCCGACTTGATACGAGGGATCTGAGTGTGATGATGGTGAATTGTGGTGTTTGGAAGGGGATCTCCATAAATATCCCATTCGCTCGGATGATGATGATAATGAAAAACCGGCAATTCTTCATTCTTTTTTAAAATCAAGTGACAGTGTGCTCGATCTGTAATCACTCTGATTGATTCAGTGCCATTTAGGACGGTCCCCAATAGGGTTCTCTCATCCTGTCATCCCAATCCAAATTTTTCCTTAATCCGTACTCTAGATGATTATTTTTGGCATGCCACATTCGATGCTTACTTGTTTAAAATCCCTTATCTTGCCCCCATCCTGCCCTTCAAAAGAGGCAAAGCCTGGATCCCGAAGAACCTACTGGCAACCCTCTTTTAGAGCATGTCATTTCTACTGGCTGTTATTTTTTATTTCCAGCCTATCCTGCCACCAGATTTCATGGCAAGCTTGTCACAAGATGTTCAGAGCTTTGTGGTAGAAGATTAAGCACAGTTAATTTAAATGGTTAGTACCAGTTTGGTGTTTTATTATTACCCCAAAAGAGTTGCAAATAACACGCAGTCAGTAGACAATAGAAACCTTTAGATTCTAAGACGTAATGACTACAAGTACGAGATTTTCTCAATGCTGAGAAGTTTGCCTGAGTGAACTGGCATCATTTTGGTGGGAAAATGTTATCACTGTTGTCATTCTGCTTCGAGTTTTAGTGAAAATGTCGTAGTGACAGAAACAAGTTATCAAATGTTAGAAGTTTCATCACTTTGTGATCGGGAGAGGGATTAACCTCCTTCAATAAGAATAACAGTGCCAACAACAAAAAGTACAATGAAACTTTAGTGGGTGTTTAGTTTTTGGGATCACGGGAAAAACCTTTAGCTTCAGTCTCGTCCTCGTCCTCAGATCAAGAGGGCTCTATTGTATGACTAAAATTGACCTATGTCCGACAAAATCTTAACTACAAGTATGGTTGGACATGATGTCCAGTCAACGATAATACCAAAGACAGTCAAGTTATAAGTGATTAAAAATCTGCCCTATCGTCTCAATGAAATATCATGTTACAGTGAATAGATGGCAGTAATAAGTCTACCTGAGAATGTTGCATCTACCAAGGGGCCCAACTTATGTTAAAAATGCTTAATGCATGTTTGATTGTGTCTGATCACATTTCTGTTTTGTCCAAGCAAAATGGTGACTTAGCTGGACATATTTCCTTTCAAGAAAGAAAAGTTATTTGTAACTCTGCCCAAAACCTTCTAGCCTGGGTCACAGATGGAACTAAACTTCTGATTATCCACTGCGAGCCCAGGCAAATCCTTGTTTTGGGCCTTTGGGTTGTGTACCAGGATTTGAGTACATGCCATGGTTGGCCTGTTAACAAAGCCATTGTCAATTTGCCAAGCAGGTTGAAGCATTTCGCATTTCCGGAAATTCGTGGAGTATTTTGGGGGGCCCAGAACAAAGATATGGGTACTGCTTTGCAGACGTTACATTTTAAACCGGGGTTAAATTTTGTAAATGTGATACAGGTTACAAACGTTCCTTACACAAGGATTCAAAAGAGGGATTCAGAGAAATGGGATTTTGTAGTATTAGGGGCAGGGGATTTTTGAGGGTTCTTATTATTTTCAGTCATTGTATAACCCTTAGCTGAAGGTTTTTTGAAAGCTGTTTGTCAAAGCAAAAAGTTGTCCATTCGCATTTTATTATCAGACTAAACCAGACAGTGAACTTTATTCACAGATCTGTTGTGTCAAATATTTACTCTCCCTATTCACAAGCTCTCTTGTAGTTGGGTATGTATTAGGTGGGTTTTGTGCTAAAAAATCCAAACTGTTATTATTACTTGGCCAGTGTTAACTTACATCACTGCTCATCTTGTTTTGTTCAAAGCTGATAGCTGGAGAAGTGGCAGAAAATATATCTGAGGATATGAAAACATACCTGAACTTGAAGGGTAAAGGCAATCACAAAGGCTTTGTTGTAGTTTTATGTAAAATAATGTTTATGCCCGTAAATTGCATACATGGCAGTGACCAACTCGAAAGCCTAAGCTCCTTTGGTCACTGTACACATTTTACCTTTCACCATCCATGTAACTTGTTGTCTTCTTTTTTTCTGTTCTTCTAATATTTTGTACTGTATGTAGTAACATCTTGTAATACTGCAAAATCTGTCTACACATATATGAAGCTAACCTCACATCAGGACGGGGATGGGTGTTCATGAACTTAAATGATACATGATTTTTAAACACAAACAGTAAAACACTTGCTTAATCTTTTATGTGCAGTTACTCATTCTTTTTTCATGCTTTGAATTTTTTCTTTCTAGTGCCCCTGAGGAAGTTAAAAGAGTGTTTAGTCTGGAAAATGCAAACCAGGTACAGTTGACTCCCGATAACTCAAGCCCTTGCTAACTCGAACCTCACACTACATGTAACTCGAACCAAAATCGATTTCCCCTAGATTTCCGTCATACTTTTAACTGTAATTTTACCCTCAGTAACTCAAACCCTCAATAACTTGAACCTCCCGCTAACTCAAAGTAATTTTTGTTTCTCCTCAGATCATTTCTATATAATTTTAGGCTCAATAACTCGAAGTATGTTTTGAGCCTTTAAAAATTGGGGGGAAAAAACAGTGTACTGGCGTCCAAAACATTGAATTTCGAATTTTCCATTGATTTGTTGTAGGCATATAGTTTACTCGTGGAGGCTGAGGTTGTTTGTCACAAATCTAAAGTGAAACAACTTTACCGGTCTCAAAACAGTAAAACTCATGTAGACTATAATAATTATTATGAGTTGTTACATTACGTTCTGATTTATAATCTAGGAGTATCTTTTAATTTTCACTTGACATTTCTACAATTAAATGTGATTAAAATGTTCACTGTGCAGTAAAAAGTGTTCTTTTCCTTACTCCCGGCCATTTTCTTTGTGCTCCCGATAACTCAAACTGTTTTTGATTTCCCTTGAAGGTTCAAGTTATCAGGAGTTGACTGTAATATTAATTCTAACATGAAAGTTATTGTTTTTTCTTTACTGAATCTGTGTTAACTATCATCTGAAATATTGTTTTTGAACTGTTATTTCCTCAATGTACTGAAAGTTAAGAAAAGGAAATTGCTTTTATTGCAATGAAATGTTAGCTGTTTTGTCAACTTATACCTCCGATCAGAATCACAAAACAATGTTTTTTTTTTCAACTGTGAGAGAAATGATCTGTCCAATTAAAAGCCATCTGTGAGTTTTGTGGCAAAATTCCTTATGGCATTAATTTACTTGTTTTTGTATCATAAATCACACTGGTTTACTGCACCAACTTGTTCAATTTCAGACACGTCAACAACTCATGCATATGTACTGTAGGTGCAAACTTTCCATAAAGTTTACAATATTTGTTCATTTATTTTCTTCAAATAGTACAATCTCCAGTATTAAAGATTTAACCCTGCTTTAACGAGTACTTTTCTTTCACTCCTTCAGTTTGAACATCGGAAAGTTGCCATTGAAAAAGTAAGAGAACAATACACTGATGATGCAGAGAGGAAAAGTAAGTTCTTCTGATCCTGTCTGGCTAATGCACCATTGTAGAGACTAGTTGCTTATGTACCGTTGCGCAGAGCACGAGCCAGAAGTGCAAGGAGGAAAAAGAGATGAAGATTACTTTTTCTTCCATCGCGTTACTCCTCCCCCCCCCCCCCCCCCCCCNATCAAGAGCAACTGGGGACAAGGCAGCTTAACAAGTGGGTTCTTATTATAAATTGTTATTTTCTTCTTTTATTACAATTTTGAATAATTGCCTCTCCATGCTACCTCTTTCTCGTCAGTTGCAGAATTGTCGCTGAAAATTGAAGCAGTGAAAAAGCATAACAATACAGGGAGGAATTCAAAAAAGGTAACTTTGTATCAGACCCTGTTGGAAGTTAGTGTTAAGTTGAATATGACAGGGGTGGGCTTGATTTCCACCACTCTCTCAGGTCTGGTCTTGTTCCTCCCCGAGAATAGAGCTTTTCGGGGGAGAAGCGCGGGCTCATTTCCCGAGCAGCGGCTGGTAATGGAGCCTAACAGAGGGGAAGCTAGGATCTAATTTTCTTGAAAAGGAAGCTGACTAATTGCTTGTTATTAGGAATTAGACAGCTTCCTTGTGGATGTGTTAAGAAGGAATCCATCAGGAAACTGAGTAATTTTAATTTTCAGTGGACAAAAACCTTGTACCAGAATAATTTAAACAATATCGCATTCTTTTTTACATTTTTCAAGAGTTACAAATGTAATAAGTTATCTGTAATAACACCAAAGAAAATTTCTTATGATAGGCCGAGAAAATAAATGTCAAATTTCATAAAAATTAATGACACCTTACACATGAAATTTACAGAATTTTACCGGCGTTTTCACAATTCTACTGAAATTTGACATTTATTTTCTCGGGTTCCCATGAGAAATAGTCTTTGATGTTATTACAGGTAACTGCTCCCAACGTCAGTGGCTTCATAGCTCAGTTGGTAGAGCATTGCACCGGTATCGTGAGGTCACGGGTTCAAACCCCATTGAGGTCCTGAATTTTTTTCAGACTTCTTTACGCAATTGCAGAAATTGTGTTTACTGCGACGATCATTTATTCATTTTCAGTCCACAGTATATAAATTAGTATATTTGTAGTCTAAGAGAACAGATCATAAGTAACAGTTACTGTCACCCCTGCAAATATCCACTGTTTCACTGTTCATCAGCAGGATGCCTAAAATGCCTGCAACACTTCCCCTACAATAATATTTATTACAATTACAATTATTGATTAACTTTCCCCTTCAATAAATCTTATACCGATTGACGATGGGAGGAGCCACGCAAAATTTGAGCGCCATTACTGTCAGGACATGTTAATAAGGAGCAAGGGTGTCGCAGTGGTGAGAGCACTCGCCTCCCACCATTGTGGCCCGGGTTCAAACCCCTGCATCACCGCCATATGTGGGTTGAGTTTGTTGTTAGTTCTCTCCATACTCCGGTTTCAGTTCCCCTCTCCTCGGAAACCACTTTCAAAATCAAATTTGATCTGGAACGCAGGACACGTTTATATAAGAGCTCTTAAGTGTTTCGTGAGTAAACGAGTTACAATTTACAATTTTTTTGCAATGAAACCGAGGCTGTCTTGCGTACGTAACATGTAGGCATTGTGAGCGTTTTCGCGATACCGTTCAACTGGAAGTTGTTGTTGTAACTGGGATCTATACATTACAACCTTGCTGATTACTATATTCTTTTATCCTCGCTTCTTTTTCAGGATAAACACAATAAAGTATTTCTTAACTGGTTAATAAGTCAACGAAAAAAGAAACTAGGCCATCTCAAGAACGGTCGATTTGAGCGGTACCTGGTGTTATCAAAAGAACTAGACCTTCCTTTTCTGGAGAGCCCGCATACAAAATGGAACAAATACAAGTTCAGAAAGTTCAAAATAGGCGTTGAAATCAAAGAGAAAAAGAGATTCCCTAAGTGACGAATACTTGAATAAAACCTACAAGTTTTGGTAAAATGTTTGTGCTGGTACAGATTTCTTTGTCCATAGAGTACCCAGCTGGATAAGGGTGGATTTTCTCGTAATTTTTACCCACGTACGCACGTAAATTTTACTCGCCTAAATACAATAGAAGCAATGTATGGAAGGTCGCGCGTGCACGAAAAAGTTGAACCTCGCTCAACTTTTACGCGCCGACTTTCATACACTGCTTGTTTTATTTACGCACGTAGATTTTACGTGCGTACGCACGTAAAAATTACGAGACAGTGGACATTCACCGTAATACATGACCATTTTTTAAAGTACCGTATATTCGTTGGGGCGGCTCGGTGGCTTGGCAGACCTAACTGACGAGCCACCGAGCCGCCAAAATATATACCTATCTTGTTCTTTAGTAACCTCGACTGACGAGCCACCGAGACACTAAGATATATAATCTTTTCTTGTTCCCCGAGCCACTTTTGGTTTTTAAAAGACCTTGCAATATGGCCCTGAATTCTGTAGTTGCTCCCTTGTAATAAATCATTGAGGAGATCCTTCAACGCTTTTATAAACCTTTTGGTGAACCAGTAAGCGAAAATACGGTGACACCGTTGGAAAGAATCCCTTGAAATAAGTAAGGTTGCCATTTGAGAGTGACTCAAACTAACGAATATATATTTCCACAAAGTCGCGAAATTTTACAGACGTTTGGGTGGTGGTGGTGGTGGTGGTAGTTGAGGGGATTTGGTTGACAAGTTTCTATCCCCTCCGTTTAAACATCTGTAAATTTTGCGACTTTGCGGAGTTATTAGCGAGCTTAAGCGAAGACGTTTTTGAGCGACTCACGTCAACCGGAGGTGGTCTTTTTTTTCATTTTTGGACGGTGATTTTGCCCAAAGTTTTGGACAAATCGTCTCTACAATAGTAAAGACACTTACAAATACAAATTAAGTAGCGTCAAGGTGCTTTAAAATGAAAAAGACCTCACTTCCGTTTGACGTGCGTCGCTCAAAAACGCCTTTGCTTAAGCTCCTTGTTAATATCTAAGCTGAATTTAGAAGTGTCACTTTCAAACTTGAAGTTTACAAAGAAAACTTAAGCTGCTCTTTTCAGTAGTGTCGATGGATTATTCCATAACTATCCTAATCAAAACTATATATTATGTAAAAATTAAAAAATGTTGAAGGGTGTATTAGTTTTTGCAGTTGTGTACATTCGGGTGCAGTCTCAAAGCTAGACTGCGAGCAGTCTCTCTTTTTTATTTGCAAAGTTACTACACGCGAAACCTAAGCACGCGAGTGGCGAATTAAGCCGCAAGCCGCGAGAAACGGTGATTTGCAATCGCTCTGGATGGAATAAGAACTAGACGGATTTTAAGAAAAAAGGCGGACTGCTAGCAGTCTATCTCAAAGCAGAGCAGGAAACCGACCGAAAAAAGTATTCCTTTTATAGAAGAACACCACTCGTGGTTTCACTTTGTGTGTAAAAATAATGCTAATTTTAATGAACTAAAACTAAAAAATGAATAGTTTACTGAAACATATGGTACCATTTCATTGGTTTATTACAACATGCCGCAAATAGCTCCGGTTAATTTAATAAGATTCCGCTTTTGCTCTCGCTTTCATATAAGAGAATTACTAAATAAGCGGTAAGGTAACTTTAAAAGTGACACCGATTTCTCTTAAAATTAAGGAGTGAAGAACATGCATGATACATATTATTTGAAATGCAACGGAGTGAACAACACTTATTTTTCTCCACATGTGACGGTCCAGTTTGTTTGTGAAGGTTTGGTTGAGAGCTTTGCCCGAGTAAACTGTAAAATTTAGGGAAATATATAAAAGTTTTATTTATGTTATCACCAAGCCATATTAATTTGAAAGCACAAAAACTGAGGTGGTTACCATTAAATTAATTAGATCGCTGTCAATACTCGGAATATCCTGATTGCCGTTGGAAAAGTTCAAAACTTTTTCTGACTAACAGACTGACGGCGACGCGACGTGCATGAAATTTCACAGTTTGGAGGGAAGGATCCCTGTTCATGTATCATTAAAAATCCAAGAAAAGCTCAGATGAGAAACTCAGTGGTAACTCGCTTTGTGTATGTCTAGTAATTCCTGACAAGTCTTGTGTGCGTACAAGAACGTTAGAAACTGCAAGATGCTTGCAGGAATTGTGATGGTGATACATGATTTTACAGGTAGGTAAGCCAAGTAAAGGTGCACATCACACAAAATGTAGTATACGTTAAAGGAGCTTTCACCCATTTTAGACTACCACGAATGGTAACTAATTAAAAAGCAAAACAAACTGGGCACGTGAAATGTTTCAGGTTTTTGTAGAGTACCAGTCAGTTCTGAAATGAAGCTCTTCCCTTTCGACTAACCATGATAGGCGTATTGAAAGGCATCAGATCATTTGAAATGAAGAACTCTGACACTGACTATTTGAATAATTCTCTAAAAAGCTGTTCAAATACGCGATAAGATTATTGTAAGGAGAGATTTTCCATGAATTCTTTATTTGCCTCAAATATCACATATAGCTTTCAAATATTTGCTTTGACGTTGTTCTTACTAATTCATACTGAATTTGCATAAAGAAGTTTTAGCTCCGCAAAAGGGCTCGTGCCATTTTATTGTCCTTTCTTTCATTTGGTTTGTGTTCGCTGGGTAATAATCATAGAAAAGCCAACAGTGTTCTTTAACAGACAAAACTAATTGCTCGTCAGCTCTTTTCAATTATATACCTTTTACGTCAATGTTGACTCTTGAAAGAATACTTAATTCCTTAATAATGGTTTATTTGACTTCAGTCTATTTTTCATGATTTAACTACCAGACGACATAGTAACGCCTTTTGATACAGGTGTACCTCGTTCTAACTGCAACTTAGTTATATTTATTTGCAAAAGCATATTTCATTAAGTTGTTAGTTAAATAGAAGTAATAACCGAATTTTGAATATGAAAGGTTTTGTGGTCTTGCAATTTTGAAATTAGATCGGTTTTTTGTTTAAGGTAAAAACTTCCAATTAGTCTGCGCTTTTCCTGTTTAAACAGCCGATAGCTGAACTTGCAATTTAATTCATATTGTAACACTTTGTACATTAACGCTGTTTTGCTGATCTGGCTAGGTCTTTGTCTCAGTACTTTTACTTTCTAAAATAACAACAGTAACAAAAGATTTCAGGTTAAAAATAGAATTTGTATTTAGTTTTCATTTAACTCTAAGTGATTTCTGTTTATATTTCTATTGTATTCTTTTGTCTTCAATGGTTGTGAAAACCATATATAAGTAAGTTGCTTTGAACTGATTTTACATCGTCGATTATTTCGCCGTGTCCTAGCCGAGTTATTGCTGTTTGATCCGCTGAAGAATAAACGCTGTTGGAACCAAGTTTAGTTCTGTTTTATCTACTGCTGTATCAGTAAGTGGTCAGATACCGGTCGTACGGAGAAGTGACGGCTCTTCCCCGCAAACGAGTTGCCATTTGAGTCTAGTTTTCCCCCAGTTTTATCGTGAGTCAAGCACCGAGTTCCCGTTGAGCCTTAAATTCGTTTCAAAGTGGAAAACTTCCGTCACATTATTTAAGTGCGAAAAAGTAATAACAATACCCTTCAAATGAAAACACACAGGCTTTTGTCTCTTCAGGTAAATTTCAATTATAAGCACACTTGGACATTGACCATTCCACGGAATTTTTAAAGACTCTTGACATGAATCAAATTTTCGCGAAACTCCAGTGACACTACTGGAGAAAGGTCCTTAAAATAAGTAAACGTGATTTGTCTGAAATGAGGGAAGACTAACTCCTCAAAGTCGCAAAATCTGGTATCGTTGGGGGCACAAACTTGCCCACAGCCGTAAAAACCTCTAAAATTTCGCATCTTTTAGGGTTTTTTAGGTGCCATACCGGGCCGGGGCCATACAGCTTCGTAAGTTTTCCAACCTACCACCCTCAAACTTTGTAGCATTTTTGGACTTCGAGCGTGTCGTTTGATTTTCGCATTCTTGTCCATGACAAAAATTAAAAACTGAAAAAAACAAAAAAGAGATTAAAAAAAAGGGGAAAGACCGGAATGAGGGCAGTATTTTGGCGCATTTTAATCACGTCTCCGGCAACTGTTTAACTCGCTCATTTTTGCTCGCAGTTTTTTCATCTTTACAAAAACTCGTATGTTACCAGTAAGTGTTCAACTTGTATAACGAATGAATACTTTATGACCAATATCAAAATTGTTAAAATACTCTAGCTGAGATGTGATCGGATGAACATATTCGAACCACATATGTAACCGCATATGCATGGTATAATCGCATCTTTTGAGATCGTCCGTGGCTCCATATTTTGGCAAGTGATATTTGGCAGCTGTTTTTGTTATTGAGCAACTACCATAAAAGTCATGTTGTTTACAAAAAAGACTATTTTTAGGTGGAGTCTTTGGGGTGAACACGAAAATAGAAAAGCGAGTATAACGACTCAAGCGATGGTTAGTGACATCGTCTCCACGATATAATTCAGTTTCCGTAAAGAATCGCCCGGGTCTTAGGAAGCGTTCAAGTAGAAACAAAATTTAATATAAAGACGTTTTCCATATTTTTTAGGCAAGCACTTGGGTGAGGACGTAAACGAATTCCGCTAGTGTAAAATTTTCCATTAGACTACTTTCTTCAGGTAAAAGTGTCGAAGAGCATTCAAGTAGCAGTTGAAATGTTCTGTCAAAAGGTTTTCCAAATCCCATTGGCTGCTGTCGAATTGGCGCAACGAGTTTTCAAGGACGGTAGCCAGAATAAATCTTTCAGCTAGAGTTCTTTGAAATAACCTGTACAGGTAATACTAACTTAACAAACTAGTAATAACCAAAGGTTACGGAGGGCGGGCGACAACGATCGAAGGTCAAAACGCTTTTTGATGGTCAAAACACGCGTGATCAAATTCGGGTGATCAGATTTCGAGTTTTAAAGGTCCAAACACGCGTGATCAAATTGCGTTCTATGCATTCCATACATTTTTAGAGGACGTCTAAACGAATACTGGCTACATACACGCGACGCATGCGTAATAACAGCCTGGAGATTAAGATTGCGCGCTCCTCTTGTCGCCGGCAATTAACCCATGGTATCTGTAAAATCGACTCGTAGAAGCCAATGACTGGTAAAGCTCGGAGCATACTTTCACTATTTACTGGCGATAGTTTGTTCCACGCTTCGCCTGTTATTGAGCCTTGAACTGCCACTTATCATGTGAATTACATACATTGTAGCCAAAGGTCTATAAATTAATTGATGCTAGCACAACATCTGTGTTACTTTTCATTTGTCTCTTCCTCTCTTCGGTAATCAGTATTGATGGAATGCAATGTATGGTCTGCAACTTTCGAACGCAATGTTTCCACTTCTGTTCTTCATCACGGGGAAAGACACTCATAATGATATCGATGCTCAATTGGTGCAAATACAGTCGAACCTACGTTAACGGGCACTTCTCTACAACGATACATTGACTTTTGCCAAAAACCTCTTTACAACGGTCACTTTCTTCAGTCTGTCCCCAAGGTGGCTGAGAGGTTCAACTGTATTCCAGAATCCACTCCAGTTTATATGAAAACACGCACTTATAGAGTGGAAGACCTTAGATAACAATGACCTCAACCAGGTTGTGGCGTCCAGCGGCTTAGTGAAAGCAAGGGTTTAGGTGGGATGCTCAGTCTCACGGGCTAATAAAACCTGGTCTCGCTTATTTGAGTTTGAGCGGGAGTGGGAGGAGGAGGGTGGGGGAGGGCGCTTATCTGAGAAGGGCTCTAATTCGAGTTGGGCGCTTATTCGAATAAATAAAGCCAGCGACCACAGACGTATTTCCGGTTGTCGCTAACACGCGAACTAAATCAATTCGAATACGATATAAACATGTCTGAATGATACTCGACCGTCGATAACGTAGGAAGTGAAATCCTTTAGCGAGTAAATCCTGTTTCGTTTAGAAGAATCATTTGGCTTGAATCTTTTGTCCCTGCACGATGTCTTCCCACGCCTTCTAGGTAAATGAGTTTCGTTGACGTATTTTTAAAAACACTTGACATAGATCAAATTTTAACGAAACTCCATTGACACGACGACTGGAGAGAGCGCCTTAAAATACGCGCGCGCTGTTCAACTTGTTTAGAAATGTCATGCATTACCGTAATTTACGAGCATGCAGGCTTTAGTTAGTCATTTGTCCGTCATTTACCAACATGGAATTATGCATACATGCATGCATGCATTATACTTGGAATCGTTCGTTGAGTGCCTCAACCAAGGACACGGGGTTGAGTTGTTCAAAAACCGATTAACACTAACTTGGGGTTTAAATGTAATGTAGGAGTTTCTGGTACTTGATTTCAAACTGTTTTATGGAAGCAGCCTAAGTTAAAACTTAGGAAAAAAAGTGGCTCTGCTTTGGAACTTTCACGCACGTTCACGCACATTCTCCGTTCTGCATTATGTCATAAAAATTACCTTATGTTACATCGCTTCGAGATTCATTCTGCCTGTGAAAAACTTGGAACTTTCGCGCACGGCTTTATTATGCTGCCGCCTAGCAGCCTCGCGTCTTCGCGAGGCTGCTCGTTGGCAATTAAAGTCAGTTACTGAACAAACTATTACAAAAAGTCCATTAAATACAGAAATATACCTGGATGGCGATTTACTGTAAAGCAAATACTACGCAGGCTAATACTGTCAAATAAGACCATTTATAGAATCAAACACCATGCTTTCGCGTGCCAATAATTAGCTCGACTGCTTCCAAGGTGTTTGTTTTCTAATGCCAACTGACTACGAACCGGTTCTACATACACATGATCTTCACCAAAAATTTGTTTTCTAATTATCAATGCTTTTTCGTCAAGTTGTTTGGCTTGATTGTATTCTCCCAGGCTGTTGTACACCAATGCCAAGTTGTTATAACTTGTTGGTACATCGGCATGATCTTCACCAAAAATCTTTTTGCTAATCGTCAGTACTTTTCCGTGAAGTTCTTTGGCTTGATTGTATTCTCCCAGGCGGTCGTACACTGATGCCAAGTTGTTATAACCTGTTACTAGAGCGGCATGATCTTCACCATGATAATTTTTTTTGAAAATCATCAGTGCGTTGTCGGAAAGTTCTTTGGCTTAACTGTTTTCCCCCAGGCGGCTGGGCACTGATGCCAAGTTTCCATAACTTGTTGCTACATCGGCATTATCATTATCATCACCAAAAATCTTTTTCCGAATCGTCAGCGCTTTTTCCCGAAGTTCTTTGGCTTGATTGTATTCTCCCAGGCAGTTGTACACTGATGCCAAGTTGTTATAAGTTGTTGCTAAATTAATATGATCTTCACCAAAAACCTTCTTGTAAATAATCAATGCTTTTTCAAAACGTTCTTTGGCTTGATTATATTCTCCCAGGTTGATGTAGACTACTGCCAAGTTGTTATAACTTGTTGCTACATTGGCATGATCTTCACCAAAACTCGTTTTGAAAATCATCAGTGCTTTTTCGTGAAGTTCTTTGGCTTGATTGTTTTCTTTCAGGTTGTTGTGCACTAATGCCAAGTTACTATAGCTTGTGGCTATATCAGCATGATTTTCACCAAAAATCGTTTTGCGAATCGTCAGTGCTTTTTCGTGAAGTTCTTTCGCTTGTTTGTATTCTCTTAGGTGGTCGTACACCGATGCCAAGTTGTTATAACTTGTTGCTACATCGGCATGATCTTCACCAAGAATCTTTTTGCGAATCGTCAGTGCTTTTTCGTGAAGTTCTTTGGCTTGATTGTATTTTCCAAGTCGGTCGTACACTAATGCCAAGTTGCTATAACTTGTTGCTACATCGGCATGATCTTCACCGAAAGTCTTTCTGCGAATCGTCAGTGCTTTTTCGTGAAGTTCTTTCGCTTGATTGTATTCTCCAAGGCGTTCGTACACTAATGAAAAGTTGCTATAACTTGTTGCTACATCGGGATGATCTTCACCAAAAATCATTTTCAAAATCGTCCGTGCTTTTTCGTGAAGTTCTTTGGCTTGATTGTATTCTCCCAGGCGGTTGCACACGAATGCCAAGTTGTTATAACTTGTTGCTACATCGACATGATCTTCACCAAAAATCTTCTTTAAAATCGTCAGTGCTTTTTCGTGAAGTTCTTTGGCTTGATTGTATTCTCCCAGGCGGTCGTACACTAATGCCAAGTTGTTATAACTTGTTGCTACATCGGCATGATCTTCACCAAAAATCTTTTTGCGAATCGTCAGTGCTTTTTCGTGAAGTTCTTTAGCTTGATTGTATTCTCCCAGGCGGTTGTACACCAATGCCAAGTTGCTATAACTTGTTGCTACATTGGCATGATCTTCACCAAAAATGTTTTTGCGAATCGTCAGTGCTTTTTCGTGAAGTTCTTTGGCTTGATTGTATTCTCCCAGGCGGTTGTACACTGATGCCAAGTTGCTATAACTTGTTGCTACATCGGCATGATCTTCACCAAAAGTCTTTTTGCGAATCGTCAGTGCTTTTTCGTGAAGTTCTTTGGCTTGATTGTATTCTCCCAGGCGGTCGTACACTGATGCCAAGTTGCTATAACTTGTTGCTACATCGGGATGATCTTCACCAAAAATCTTTTTGTAAATCGTCAGTGCTTTTTCGTGAAGTTCCTTGGCTTGATTGTATTCTCCCAAGCGGTTGTACACTTGGCCACTCATATTCAAAACCTTCCATTTACGAGTTATCGCACCTGTTGAATTGTCGTCTGAGTCCCCCAGTAGATCGTCAGCTAGGTTGACTACAAGTTTCGCAAAGGAGAAATAGCAGCTTTCCAGACAGACTCCGGCGAGAGTATGTAGCCAATTAATAACTGTATCCAAATCTACGAAGGGCGCAAACCTTTCTAAAAGACTGTTTTGATCCGAACTTAACTCTGACGTCATATGCTTAAGTAAAGATTCACAGTGGGAAAATAGTTTTTTACAAAACGCATATTTCTTGTCATGTTCTTGGAGTTGGGACTTGAAAATCTTTACCGCTTCTGCTATGGTGTGGTCTCTCTCACATGATTTCACGTTAGCTATCTCGTGTCGTTTTAAAGTTTCATGCACAACTTTATGTAAACGTAAAGAAGTTCGTTCACCCCCTTCTTCGGAATTAACAAGAATTAAAGAGGACCTTACAATCTTTTTTTTCATTAAAGCCTCTGGCTGGTCTTTAACTTGGGCTTTAACGAACTTTAAAAGAGTTTCGAGTGGTAGGTCGTCATTAGCGCAGAGCGAAAGAAAAGAGAATGTATAACGAAGAACCTCGTCTGTGTCAACAGCTCTTTGGATAGCCATTTCTACTGCGGCCATTGTTGTTTTATTGTAGGCTGAACTCTGTCTAGCAAGGACAGTTTCGGTCTGTTTTCGCTGGCTGTATGTTGATATGTCTTGAAGGAATGCTTTCCAATTATAATTTGAAGACCCACTAGACACAACAGTTTGCACGTAATAAGCAGCAGCAGCTAAGGCCAGTGGCTGAAAATCGAGAAGTTCAGCGACATCTTCTGCTTGTAATCGCTCTGAAATTTGCGATACTGTTTCCAGCAATTCCACTGCCTCTTCCCGCCTCATTCCTTTGCTTAACGATTCATGATACGAGTGAGGGGCGTTTTGAGGAATTGTATCACTATCTTGAGTGGTAATCAGCACTTGGCCATGGCCCCATTCTTTACTGCCAGTTTGAGGAAGCAAGTCGAGGACTAAGCGTAAGTCAATCACATTGTCTGCAATCATCAACCATTTGGTAAACTTGATGGTCTTCGGCAAAATCAAGCGATGAAGCTGTTTAATTGCTTCAATAGGTTTCTCTTGTTTTAAAGATACTGAGCTAGTCAACGCGTATTCTGTTATCCCTAGGTGTCTTCCAAGGGTGAGGTAAGAGTCCGCAAGTGTCTCAATACTTTCTGTGTTCAGTGTCGCAGCAAAGATAAGATCATCGTTTTGTTCAGAAAAGAACTGTTGTCCAATTTCCCGGGCAAGTTGGCTCTTGCCACATCCTGGATTTCCTGACAAATACACTGTACTGACTGCTCCGCTGGAACCATTGTAAAGTTCCTTCATTTCCTTAGTGATTCTTTCAGTGTCATGCGAGCGCCTAATGATAACATGTGGTGGGTGCGATGTGAGAATGGAAAATGACTGAAGCTTGGCACTTATTTCCTGTGTAAGAGATTTGTTTTCTTCTTTTGTTGAAACTAGGGCAGCTTCCATACTTTGAATAGTGCTTTTTGCCTGATCTAACTCGGCTTGGAGATCACGAGCTTGCTTGTTAAGTTTTTCCACTTCCTTCGTTTGAAAGGTCGTCTGGTTCTTTATTTCTTGAATCTCAGATATAGCAAGACCAAGGGATGTAAAAGCGTTCAACACTCTGTCTACGGAAGTCTGGAAGTCGGTCTCTGTCAACTTAGCCTCGGTGATATGAGCGATCTTGTTTCGCACCTGACGAATATCATCGACCTCTTTACGGACAGCTGGACTTAATGTGCTACCAACGCTGGCTGAGTACAGGGTTGCAAAAAACAAACAGGTGCAGTCCCACTCTGCCGTGTTACCATTCTTTATTGTTGTTAGACACCGAGAGTTTTTCCTGCGACTTGTTTTAGATTCCTTCTTGTAGAAATCATGACCATTTTGTGCCGTGTCTTTCCATTCTCCAATTAACGTTCCTTTATAAAGGAAATCCCACTCGTTTTTGAAAACCTGCCGCAGTCCTACTGGAACCAAATCAAATGCTATGTAGCAGAGTCTGAAGTAGTTTAGTTGTTCCTGTGAGTATTCCATCACCACGTTATAATCCTGGAAGAGACACTGCCTTTTAGTTATTTTCTTGTGAGGCAAAAATTGGGTTTTTCACTTATTATATTGAAAGTTGAGTATCAGCCGGTGATGAGCACAGGAACCCCAAAAGATTATGAAAAGCTAGTCAATAATTATATACTACCGTTCAATACGAGACGGCAAGTTAAGTATCTACAACTTCAGGAGTATGATTTACTCAGTCGATTAGGTAGACTACGCTTCAAACACAAATTTCTCGCCAGGGAGCCAGTTCGTTACCAGCAATGGACCTCTAAAATTTGTTTGGTAAACCGTTTTACTTGGTAGCCTATGTACAGACGCCCCTTCCACCTAGATATCTTTTAGCAAAGAGGGCGTCTGTTCATGGATTAAAAGCTCGGGGGTTCCGGGGGTCTAAAGAATAGGAGTCGTTTAAGAAATAGGAGGCGTTCATTCTGATAAATGTACCACCTGCACCAAAACTAATCTACTTCGAAAGCGAATTCCTTACCGTCCACGTTTGCAGAAAACGAAAACGCGAAGTAGGTCATGTTTGACCTATATGCTACCGACCTAGAACAGGCCCGAAGAAAGTTGCTGACATAGTGAGCACATCAAAAATATCAAAGAGCGCTTTTTTCACTTTGAACTTATGGAACAAAATGCCATGTGTAAACTCTTGTTAATCACTGAAGAATTTCAAACTAATTACTACTTAATTGAACGATTTCCCTCTATGTCAAGTTATGTGACTATGTTCTAGTATTCTGAAATAATTGTCTTTGGGAGGTCTGTTAGTCGAGGCGTTTGTTAGAGAAGGGGCATCAAACATAAATAAAACAGTGTGAGGGGGATGGGGATCTTTACTAGAGAGAAGAGGAGTTTATTTGAGAGCAGACGTCTATTAGATCATTAACGATAAGTATATTATCATTCGATGTCAGTGTTTCTAATTTTCAAACCAAATAATGATGACTCAAAGTCAATGTCGTACAATAATAACTTTTGGTGTTCTTGGCCGTTTTGACCAGCGCTTCGTAGCATGTATCTTCTGTAGTGACTTAATATAGTATATATCAATACAAGCTGATGAAGGTAGAGAAAACGCTGTAGATCATGCGTGTGAGGTTGGTGTGGGTAGAGGGTTGGCAGAGGGGGGGTGGGAGGCGAGTGGGTGGGATAGGGGGTGGTAGGAGAGCAGGAAGGGGGGGCGGGGGGGGGGGGGGGGGGGGGGGAAGACAACAAACAGACGGCAATAGAGGACATGGTGAGTTATACAAAAGTTCATTAATTTTTTTTCGCCAATGAACTTGTTAATTCTTGATCGTAATTGACTGCAAGAAAATTCCTCTTGGCACTTTAACCGTAGCCTGAATTTCAGACATGAATTGAGGCTTCTTTAACCCTTTCACCCCTAGCCTAGATTGAGAAATAGTGAGATCAACCGTCATTTTAATTTGTACCTGTGGACGAAACCTTGTATGACGTAGCCTGAGATGATGCCCTCTCCCTGTTATCCCTCGCAAGTTATGTATGACTCGGCCTTAGCTTTCCGTGACGGCTTACAAATGATACTGACTTGGGAGAAGTCAGGTTTAGTCTGTACAAGTGAACACAGACATATCTCCAGTCGATCGTAAACGATTGCATAAATAATTTTAAATGAACATCCCTTTGGTTCTAAGAGAACATGAAGTGTTCTCTTGTTTTTCCAAATAAAAACAAGCGTTAGTTTTGAACGTAGACAACGAATGACCCACCGCCTTGTTTCAGTGGAATATTCAGGGTAAATGGACGATAACGACCTCTTTGGTAAACGTATGTTTAACGAATGAAAGCCCGTTAGCTGTCATGATATGAATCCATTCTTTGATGATCTCGTAGACCTACGTAGATGTACAAGGAAATGTACACGCAATACTGTCTGATTCAGATGTTAACGCGAAAATTATAACGGTTTTGAAAAAACAAAACACAGATAAACCCTTTTTATCACCCCAATTCTATACCATGCACCGAACAGTATTCATAACAGTAGCGATAATTTAGTATGCTGATCAAAATTCTTTATGTTCAATGATGGCGAACGAGTGGGACTTAATATCTGCACATACAAAGCTTCCTATTATACAAAATTACGACAAACAATTAGCCTGAGTTAATCTGTGAGCATGAATAACCAACGCAAAATTACTCACCGTGCACAAAAGAATCCACTGAAATCTGATTTAATGACTGAAAACATGCACAGGATCGGAACATAAGCGGAACTGCAGAAAATGAAAGTGATCTGAAGCACGCCAAGCGTGACAAAAGTGTTCAAAAATAAAAGATAGGTGGTACCATCGAGTTTGTGATGTACTCTGTTCGTTGTTAATGCGGTTGAAAATTACGTATATATAGCTTACGGTGAGGTAAATTGGCCACATATATCTGTCACTTGAGACTCGATATGCGTTTACAGCCTGAAATATATCGATTTGTTCACTTAGCCGGAAATATTCGAGGCAGACGCCCGTGTCAAGAAACCGTTCCGCGTGAAAGCGATGCCATGTTTTGAAATGATCATCGATGAGAGTCGATTATAATGGAAGGGGCCTATTTTCAGTATTTTAGTAACCCCAGGTAATAACTCACAGAGTAGACGCAACGGCACTTACACGAGTTAGAGTAATCGACTGATCTTTCCTAAGCTAAGAGTTACTGGTTGTGTGAGGCCATGCACAAAGTAACATTACCTTGCAAATTGCTGTTTTCGGTGAACTAAGGAACGTCTAAAATGTTGTTGACGGGCATTGACGGCAGTTTTGTTCGCGTTATTCCATTTTCATTGGGGAACACTAGAGACTTATTGCCGAAAGAAATTTAAAAAGAGGTCATTTCTGACTTGTGGAGTTTTATTTTTTTGTTCCAACCCGTCGGCAAAATGAGCTAGGGAGCGGGTGCTCTAAAGGTATAAGAGCCTGTAGCGCAAAAGGTAGCATCGCCTTGAACGTAACCATCATGAACCATGACAAGCAAGCGAGTGTAACGTCACACACAAAAATTTCTGTGGAATAATTACCACAACCCATACTTACCTATCCGAGGAGGAGGAGTGGGAGCAGAAACCAGCAGTGAAATTTCTTAAGCCGTGAATCAAAACGATCCGCAAAGATCAACAAAGCAAAGCAGAAAAAGCTGAGTCATGCAATCACACAATCACAAGTAAGCCCCTGCAGACTCGGGGGCCACCCCGCACAAGCTTGCCTGCCTGGGGCTCAACTGCTGACCCGTTAGTGATGTGTCAAGGTTAATCTTCAATCGCCGGGCGACACAATTAGTTGAGACACTTCGTCCTATTTAGAGGCTTTCTGACGTTTTACTAACTTCCAAAGGGAAAATTAAAGCTTTTCTTCCCGCATCCCTCCATGCAATGTTGTGTCGCTGCTCGAGCTTCCTACACCCCAACTTTGAACGAAGGGGAGGGGGAGGGGTGTGGATTGTTTTGCTCTCTGCAGTTACCCTATTTGAGTATAATGTTTCAACAGTTTTGTCGCCTATTGCTTCATAAACTGCAGTAGCCTACGTCCGATATACTGATATATCAAAATTCCAACATAACTCACAGGCTTTAAAAATTGCAAATTTTTCACGCCGTCCATTGTCTCCCATGCAGTTTCCAGAAGAGACTTGAGCACAAAGAAAACCAAAAGAAATATAGAAATATGACCTGAGAAAGCCGCAAAGTCATGTTAGAATTTTAACATATCGAACGTGAACGTGAACTATTTTGGGAAATATTTAATAGTCATTTCCAGGTTTTCCTCATTCATCTTCTTCTGATTGTCTCTGCAGATCGTTAATTTTAGGTTCATACCAGTTGCTCACCAGTTTAACTTTTGTCTGGCTGTCAGTTTGGTTTGGGCAACAATTTTGAGTGTCATACGAGCCTCCGAGACAAGCCATGTAAAGGAAATTGAATCTAAAGACACCATATCCATGACAAACTACTTTGTAGAAGCGACTCAGCAATGAACATGGAGCGATGGTTCTTGGAGGAAGAAGGGAAAAAAAATCCGTTGCGCAAATTTTCGCGGCTGTCATCAGTTGTCCCACACCTACTGTCTCGCTGCTGGCTCTCTAAGGATGAGGCTAGCCATGCTCCAGTACATGATGTCTCCTTATGAAGCCGGCTGGGCGACGTGCGTTTTTGAGGATGTAGCCTGCGTAGCAGACGCTTGAAAGTGGGAGGTAGTGGACGCAAACGCGTCTGTTCTTTCTTGTGCCCACTACTTCCAAGCGCCTGCCGCGCAGGCTAGTGAGGAAGAGAGTTTTTTTGTAAATAAGACAGATTGATCTTTCTTGAAAACAAAAATATAAATAAAATCTACGTTCTATGATGCCAGTCTCTATTTTATTTTCTTTGTATATAAGTACTGCTATTATTCGGCCGAATCAGTTAAGCCATAGTCATGTTTTAGCCCCGTCCACTCGGCGAATCCGGACATTTTTCTTTACCCGGATTCTTGTGGACGGAGCCTTACACTTATCTGGGGCCATTAATGAAACTTTTACAAGTGTAATTTACAAGTGTAGCCATTGTTTTAGAGTCTGAAAAGATAGCTACACTTGTAAATTACACTTGTAAAAGTTTTGTTAAATTGGCCTCTGCTGGATATCGGTTTCAAAAAGTTGCGATTTTAATGATTGGATTCACTGGTTTCGTGTGCACGGAAGACCTCGTGGTCGGCAGGCGTATTTTGCAGTGCAAAAGATTTGGACGCTGGACTGACAGAGAGTTGGGGCGAGAAAGGAGAGGTTGATTCTTAGTTTCCCAGTTGTTATTATGATGGCGGCCGCGATCAATGTACCTCTAGGTCGCGCCCCAAAAAAACAAACAAACAAACAAAGAAACGCCGGTATTGAGCGTGGGAGACAGGTTGACAAAAGAGAAAAGATAAGACAACATAAGATAACAAGTCTAAAAACACGATAAGACGTTACTTTTCCTTTTCTCGGTC